TAACAGCTTACATACTCACCTAAACCTAGCTCCCTACTTCAGAATGCTACCTTATTTTCTTCATAGCACACATCATTATCTCGAATCATATTATTCATTCGTCTTCCACACTAAAATGAAAACTCCATGAGAGTAGGCAGCCTGTCTGCCACGTCTGCCCTTGTATCTCCAAGGCCTTGCTCGGTGCCCTGCACGTAGCAGGCATTCAGTGAGTATCTGTTGAATAAATGAAAGGCAGAGCTATTGCAGGGATAGGAGTAACTCAGCCTGAAATAAACAGACAATAGAGAAAGAGGGATCAAAGGAGACAGAAGAAACATATTCAAAAGAAGCCTTGATAGAGTAATTAAAATATAAAAAGTACAGACAGAAACATGTAACACAAAGGAAATAGCTATAAATACCAATGGCTAGAAGCCCAGCTCTGAGAGAAGAAAAATAAATAGATGCTGCTTTAGTACAAAAACAAATCTGAATATAAAGAGGAGGACATGGCACACAGATACCAAAGGGAGGTTCTAAGGGGAAGTAAGCCCCACAGGCCCAGGAAGTCAAAAGGACCTGAAATCTAAATTGGAAGACCCCAAAAATGTAAATGTAATTGTAGCCGATCAAAAACAAAAAGTTTGGAATTGCATATTCCCTATCTTCTTTCTGGGGGAAAAAATACAAAAGATTGGAAAGAGATAGAACTCTGTCTCTAGGAAACTGCTGAAAATTTGAGAAGTATGTAAACATAGGAGGGGCACAATATTTTTAAATACCTCTTTAAATAGTATTAGGATGACATGCTCTTTGAAATAAACATACAAAAAGTTAGTGACTTAGGAAAATGAACAGGAAATACAAGGAAAGATGTAAGGAGCCTAATGAAATGTTGAATTATCTTTTCCATTCACGCAACAGTAGAGCCAAAAATAAGTCTCCCAAAGCTTAGAAACTAGAACCTGAACTAGATTTAAGACTGGAGTTGTAAACTGGATAGTCTTTTAACACTTAAAGTGACTAGAAGTTATAAATCTGCCCAAGATGTGGCTAAGGAATTTACTACCAGGAAAGGAAGAGGGACTCAATGTAGGAGGACATTGAGGAGTGTTTAAACGAAAATAATTCCTGCTAAGTTGGAGCTGACCTAGTTGAAACTGTTCAATAAACTGGAATTTTCTAATTCTGGTTGGTCCCCTTCCAGCTGTTGACCTTAGGCAAGTAACTTAGCTTATTTTTGCCTTATCTATGAAATGGGGATTCATGAGATAAGACATATAAAGCACTTAGAAAGTGAACTAGACCCATAATGTGTTCAATTCACACCAGCTTTATCATTATAATTCACATTACCTCATATCATCAAAAAATCAATGTGCCTGACAATAAATGGAGATGGGAATACGGGACATAAACTCACATGCATTCTAAGGAATGAAGTGTGAAAAAGGAGAGGTAGGGGAAGTAAGGAACTGGAGAGTAGATGACTGACCTAATACATTCAAATTCAAATTTTTAAAAATCTTGATGGGCCAAACAAAAACCAGTCTACAGACAAATTCTTGAAGCCTTGAAGATTGCGATTTTCAAAATAATTTCAGCATCTCATTTAACTTTAACTGGTCTGTCTTGACTTCCCTGTTTTAGCCAATGGTGCCAGCATTCACCCTGGACTTGACCTACCCAGTCAGCTCTGACCCCTTCTCCCTTATTGCCTCTTTATCCTGTTAATTGCCACATCCTATTTCTGCCTCCATTCAACAAATCCTCAGCCTCCTCTCCAAAATAAATTCTGACCCCCTCTATTCACCCACTTCCACACCTATTCCTGCAAACCTAGGGTCTCACAACAGAAAGGTCTGTTTTTCTTCTTCACTGCTTTGATGGTCAGCAGGGGCAGATCTGCTTAAGTCTTAGTTGGCCGGGCTCCAGGCTTTGGGTCAAGAGCAAATTTACATCACATATCTCTCACCCTCCTTAGACCAGCAGCTATTTGGAGCATGTACTTCTTATGGAAAACAGCAAGAGCACAAAAGAGTAAACAAGAAAAGCACAATCTCTTTTGAAGTCTCAGCCCAAAACTGGCGTACTGTGACTTCTGCCTACATTCCACCGGCCAAAGCAACCCACATGGCCAATCCCAGCATCAATGAGGCTGAGAAATATACTCCACTAGCTCTAGTGGGAGGTACTGCAAATCATATGGTAAAGTGTGTAAATGCATAGGTCTAACAAAGGGAGACTATGGATAATTGTGAATGAGGAATGAATCAATAAGCAAGATCTCACCCTTTGGTCACAATTATTCATGTCCCTCTTATACTTAAATTACACTTAACCTCTCCCTAAGAAGCACAAGGATGGAGACATGTGGAGCAGAACTGACTCCAACCACAGCCTAGAGCCAACTCTAACGCAGGTGACCCACAGCCTAAAACAGAGCTGCTCAGCTAAGCCAGACTAAATCAGCAGACTTATAAATGGGAAAATATTTAAGACACTGAGTTTGAGGGCAGTTTTAGTAGTCAGTATTTATGTGGCACTAGCAGATTACTGTAACGCTTTTCCTCATAATTTTCCTAAGTCCTTGACGTGACTTCAATACTCCCTCAACCTTCTTAAATCCTTCCTGTGTCTTAGGTTGACCCAAATCTCCCTCCAGTTCCTGTGTCTTCTTCTCATCTCCAATAATGTCTGTAGAAGTGGTGCTACTTACTTTGTTCTTTAAATACAGTCACTCTGTGTATTTTTGGAAACTTGTTTGCTTATATTTCAACTTTGTGAATAGTCATTATCACACCAAGGTTATTACAAGGGCTTTTCCATTGCTCCCTTATTTGGTAACAGTATTTTGAGTTCTAATAGAGAATACTTAATTGTCAATCAACTTGGTTGGTTTTTATTATGAGCATGCTGTTGTTTGTAATGAAGTAGCAGTTTCTCATTTCTTTTACTAACCCTGCCAACAAGTGCTGGTTGGATAAACTAAACACCTTTCAATTTGCCCTATACATCTGTTATTAAACGTAACCTTGAACTCCTACTATGTAAATAATGACAAAAGCTGGGAGCACAAAGATGAAAACAGGATCCAGCTTCTTGCTCTCATATCCAACACACCAGGCTCAGCTGCTTCATTAAATTTTAAACTAAAGCAAAGAGTTAAGGGCAAGGGTTATTTTATTCTTTCTTGGTCTTCTTATAGTACCAAGAAACAGAACTTTTCCAGAGTAAGTTCCCAATAAGCAGTTGTGCTGTTGTTAAATGGCTACCGCATCCCAACTGCCTTTGTGCTACGTCTAGCGGCTGAGTCTTCCTTCCATCCCCAATTCCCTGGCAAACGTTTGATGAATGGCTGTTACGTGCCAGGCACTGTGCAAGCCCAGGTGGCCCTGGCTGTCAAGTAGAGTTGAGTCTGGATGAGACAGGCATGCATACACCTAATTATGATAGCACTTAAGATACACAAGAGTACCATGAGAGCAAAGAAGAATGACCAACTTCATTTGGGGAAGCAACTTTATAATTTACTGTATTATAATTGGATTCTTAAAGTGTTTAACTTTTTCAGGCAGAAAAAAAAATAGGAAAGGCTACTCTAGGTCACAAGAACATCATGTTCAAAAGTACATAGCCATGAAAAAGCAGATGGGCTTGGAGATTAGCAAAGCATTAAGTACGGACAGAATTTAGGTTGGGTGGGAGCTGAGTGATGAGCGATGAGGCCACAGCTGAGCTGAGAAGAGTTTTATATGCCAAAGTAATGAACTGAGATACTGCTCTACAGAGATCAAGCAACAAATGGAACATTTTAAGAAAGAAAGAATTGTGATTGGATGCTTTTATTTATTTGAGAGTGAGCAGCTCATGACAATGTGGAGACTGGAATAAACAAGGATAACTTGATTATAGAAAGACCAGTTAGGAAATAGTTCCAGGCCCAACATGATAAAGGCCCAGACAGACTGGAGGGTGGACTGGAGAGATATTTCTGCAATAGAGTCGACAGGATATGCCGACTCAGTAGATGGGAAACGGAGAGTGGGAGGTAAACCAGGTCTGCATTGTGTCTTAGCTGGTGGCCAAATGGGACTTTTAACTTCATGAAACAGGAAGAAAGGCAGGTTCTGAGTTGGAAGAGCACGCTGGACTTAAATCCTGTCCTACTCACTCTTCTGCAACTTTGGTTATTTCAGTTTTCTGAACTATAGATGCATCAGCTATAAAATGGAAAAATAACATCTACTTTATGGGCCTGTCCTAAGGTTAAATAGGATTAAAACATACAAAAAAACCAAAGAGCTTACTGCATGGCCATAGAAGGTGCTTGATAAATGTTTGTTGAATGAAGGAAACTGACAAAAATAGAATAAGTAACACCAGGATTTTAGGTGAGTCTTGATTACGTGACCTTGAAAATGTTATCTAACCTCCTTAACACTCAGTTTCCTCACATGTGAAACAGGACAAATTGGTCCTACTTCACTGGCTTGTTGGGAAGATTAAACTTGAAACCCTATGCAGACCCTGATGTAGTCACTGGCACGTAATTGATGCTAAATAAATGTGTATTGAATGAAGGTATAATTCAACTGTGCTCAGTACATCTGGTTTAAGAAGACAGAAAACTACTTCAGTTTAGTACATATCACATTCACATTCAGACACATACACACGGAAGAGAATCTTATGTCTGTTTTATGTTAAATTTAAAATGCATATTTCCATTATTTGGAAAGTCACTTAGAAAAGTTCATTCTTCAATAATGTTCAAAAAAAGTCATGGCTCTCTAATACATTTGTGTTATATAAAAACTAGAAACTATCTTCATATCTCCTCATTAAAAACAAAGCCATGTACACAGATAAATCTTTGTGCAGAGTATAGGTGCCTGGCATAACTTTTACTCCAAAGAAGTGATACTAGACTGAGAAAACTTGAGAACCACTCTTTTTAAATAATGCAAGTACTACCAGCATTAATTCATCCCTTTAAAATTGTTTGAATGCCTGTGATGATTCACTGCGGATACTATTCGTGCTTGAATAAATGCATTTAACTTTGTATATTGTGGCTGTGGCAGATACTAATGGATGTTTCCCAGTATCTTTTCTTCTTCACTTTCTTTTAATAGATGAACCCACCTCTCCCCCTTCACCTTCCTTCCTCCGTCCTGTTTTTCAGAAACATGGTCTCCTAGCTACAGACTACATTTCCCAGCATCCCTTAAAGCTAAGTAAGTTCATGTTAAAGTCCCAGGCAATGAGAGAGAAGTAGAATTGTTATCTTTCATTTCTGGGTCATCTCCTTAAAGACACTTGCCCTGGACTCTCTCCTACTCCCTTCTTCTATGGGCTGTAGCACAGACATGGCGGAAACCCAGCCTCGGTAATGCCAGTGAGCACGACATCAGGGAATGGTAATGCAGCAGAAAGAAAGGAACTTGTGTCCTTCAACGACCTTCACCACCTGGACCGGCGGGACTGTAATGTGAGAAATACATTTCTACGTAAGCCACTACATTTGGGTTTTATTTTGTTTTAAATTTTATTTTATTTTTTTAGATATAGCATCTCAACCTCTACCCCATGGAATGGAGAGTTTTACCTTGTTTTTCAAGAAAAAAAAATTTCAATTGTAAAAACTGCCCTTAGGACTTTATGGAACAGATTTTTAAAAGTCTGATACGTTAGACTGAACTTTGTGAATAGTCATTATCACACCAAGGTTATTACAAGGGCTTTTCCATTGCTCCTTATTTGGTAACAGTATTTTGAGTTCTAATAGAGAATACTTAATTGTCAATCAACTTGGTTGGTTTTTATTATGAACATGCTGTTGTTTGTAATGAAGTAGCAGTTTCTCATTTCTTTTACTAACCCTGCCAACAAGTGCTGGTTGGATAAACTAAACACCTTTCAATTTGCCCTATACATCTGTTATTAAACGTAACCATAAATTAGATAAAGCGATGGGATTCTCAAAGGAGAATGTCTTAAAAAAAAAAACAGTTTATCAAATTATAACCTCAAAATAATAGTGTCAATTTTGTATATCATAATCACTGATTTCCGTTAAATTTTGTTGACTATTGGAAACAGAATTTGACTGTATGAGTCAAGAGCCTAGTTTTGTGTACCTTCAGTAATAGGGTATCTTGCATCAGTATTTTTATTAGTAGTACAATAAATAACTATGAGATGGTCTATTTTTCAAAAATAATGTCAATTAAAAAAATAGTTAACATAAAAGAATTAAGAGTACCAGGTCATGGTGGAACATAGTATAATACAGACAGAACATATCAAAGTTATCATACATGGCCACTTACATAATTTAACTGAATCACACACAGGACTGTCTTAGATCAGCTGACTTTGGAAAATAACTGCACTGCTAATATTCAGTCACTATCAATAATTCTTAACTTCAGAGAAGTTAAATCAGTTTCTTCCCCTTGCTCTCCCAATAACCAGTGACAGCTGTTGTAGTGGAAAGAACGCTTGGCTAGGAATCAGGAAATTTCATTGCTAGCCCTGGCTTTCCTACTTACGAAGTGTGAATTTGGGCAGGTCATTTAACCTCTGTGCAGGGTAACTGTAAATTTAGGAAAAGATCATCTATAATAAGCATCTTGGAAAATAAAAAGCTTTATACAAATTCACAATAGTATGTATATATATGTATGTGTGTATTATGTATGAAAGACATCATTAATGATACAAATCCACCTATAAATGTATTTGTTCATATATGCATATGAACACACATATATATGTGTGTTCATTATAAAGATACACACACATACACATTAGTTAATTGAGAACTTTTACTTTTTAGGATTTATGTTCTGGCTGCTTCTAAAATGAGTCAAGACAGCTACCGATTAACATACAAAGCAAAGGTGCAATGAGAAGCTTTAAAATGAAACAAAGTCCACAGAGATGACATTTAAGAAGTATTTTTTTTACTGAAGCCCTCCTGTTCTTCACTGATGGCTGATAGCAAAGCAGATAAGGGGACTTCTGTAGTAATAACAGGTTACCAGTAATTTACTGAATACTTGTGAACTCCCCACTCCCAGCCACAAATGAAAGTTAGAATCCTAACAATGACCTACATCTAACCATACAGTCTCACCCATATCCCATTCCTCTGTCCCTCTCTCCCTGGGTGATCTGGTTAATAGGTCAGCTCCGCCAGAGTTTTCTGGTTGTAACATCTGGGAGGTGTCACGTTCCCACAGTGGAGGACAAGGCACACATTCATTAGGCTTGTACCCTAAATTCGGCAGGATTGCTACTATAACATTCTTTAAAATTTTTCCTAATGATTATCTTTAATCATGAGATTAAGGAACAAGATGACAAGGACAAGAATGACTAACCTTTCCTTTTCCTAGTCCTATACCACATCATAGTGTTATGTGAGGTACATTCCTTTTTACATACAGGAATTAACTTCACTGTGAGGTGGAGGATAATACAAATACCTTTGATTCATCAGCTCAGACAATACCATGCTACTTGAAACTATCCATCAATTTCCTTTGAGCTTTATTTTAAAACAACCAAAAGAAAAGCACTGCATTTCATGGCTTCAATCCTTAACATGAACCATAAATAGATTAGACTGTCTTTTTATTGGACAGATTAGCATTGACAGTCATCTACCTCAAACTGAAACTTGGCAGAGTAAAATCACTAGATTAACATTGGGACTAGCAAAAGATGACACTGGGAATTCTCCCCCATGCCCCAGTCTTTTAAGAAATGATAACATATAAAATCGGTTAAAAATCTCTGCACAGATGGCATGAAAACAAAAAGCAAAAGCTGGTCACTGAACATCATTTTAGCACTATATTCTACTGCTGTGCTTGGCCTCATTGCTTAACCAAAGCATCACTTCAGAAGGGTCTTCAGGCATTAAAAAATGATCACAATTGAGACACAGATCTTTCAGAAGCTGAAATTTCTTCTCCAGACTCGTAATTTTATTTTCTGATACTTAAAAGAAAAAAAATCCCTAAAGAAGAATTCTGCAGCAATGAGGTCAACGTTGGCCACCTTAGAACTGATCCATAATATGCCTTTCTTCCAAAGGAGACCTCCAAATGCAGTCTTATTTAGTATCACAGTGTACCTGCCAAATAGGCCGCAGAGAGCGCCAGCCCTGACAAATGGAGGCCTGAGTGTCATCCCAGCCACTCGTCATGCAGACAGAACAAGGGGAAGCAGTGATGGCCACAAATTCTACTCATTTCTTGAATGTGCATTTTTGAGTTCACATGTCAATGGCAGACTCCTCAGGCAGGTTCAGAGTAAATAGAATACATTAGGAATGCTGGTCCTTGTGATTTGAATTTATCCAGTCTCACAGAGCAACTGCAAAGGGACAAAATGTATGCAAGTAAACATAGTTTAGTTGATCCCGGACTCACCTGACTCCTCTTGTCCTCTTGGGAGCTGTAAATACCTGCCCAGATTGGCAGGTGTCAGCTAGAACAGAGACAGTGGAGTGAGAGAGGAGCCCCAAACCCTTAGTCTTTATATGCCCCTTCTCTCTCTGTTCAAACATCCTCTTCACTCTGATTGGCTTCTGGTTCTCTCACTGTCCCTTGCCTTTGAAGTGTTCTCCACTCAGCAGCTTTCAAGGTTAATGTCTCTTACTCCCCCAAAGCATCTACGCACGTCCTGGACATGTATGTGTATTTCCAGTGACCCAAAGTGACAGAATGGGAAGTAGCTTCTTGCAACTCCTTTTCCTGGAGACTTGTCTCTCCCTTGCACTGCTTGCCTTGGCTCTTCTAGAAGGCTATGGGAGGTTATCTGTTCTTTTCACCCACAGGTTATAAACCACAACATGGTTCTGTTTTAAAAGGATGATCAGTGTGGCTGGCAAATCACTGCCAGAAAGAAAACTCAGGTTCCATATTTGAACCTCAACCTCATCTTCCAAATGAGCATCTCCAAAAATTATGAACCCATTATTGCCTTTCTCTTTGTCATCTTTTTAAACAGATTAACAGTATTTCCTTTCCTAATCTGATTTTTTTCATTTTTCTTCTGTATAAAGTTTTCTTTATAAAATTTCTTCTGACAAAATTGAAGCTATTGGTTTTTTTCTAAAAAGAAAAAAAATCTTTATTCCTAGCTTCCCACACCATACTTAAGAATGAACACGTGATTTCCAAAGAGCAATAACTGGAATAATTTTTTGTCATTCCAAATTCATTACTTGACTGCAAAAATGAATACTCAGGTCAAATTCTGTCATAATGGGACAAAGGAGTTTCCAAGTTCCTTTCCTGGGGTGAAATTTTATTATACCCATTATTGAGTGAAAGCAAAAGAGAAGCTTAGGAATCATACACCTGTGCATTGTCTTTGCTTCCATAATGGTGTTCGATGAAATGGCAGATATTCAAAATACCTTTTCTTAAATTTCGTCATGACCATTTCTGATAACCAGAATGTGATAGCATGACTCCCTACATGTAATTGAATTTTACAGCTTTGGTCTACACAGAGACTGCAAAAACATTTTTACAAAATCACGTTTAATTGAATTTAACTGATTTCTGCCAAATAGATAAATATCAGCTTTCTCTGAAGACTTCATTTCAGTGAAATTCAATTAGTAATGAGATTGAACATTTTCAACAATAAATTTATAACATACTAAGTTTAATCTCCTGAAATCTTGAACCAATGTATCCCTTCTTCCCAATTACTCTAGATGGAGATGTACTGAATGTCCTCTCAGAATTCTCAAGTGTTGAGTTATTTTTGATTCAGAACATTTCCACTGGTTGCCCTTGAGTAGACATATCATATTATCACATTACTTTTGGAATCTCTTTAGACTGTGACCGACATTCTCAGCAAGGCAACTAGATATGAACACCTCCTCCATCGACTTTTTTAAAATGACATCTCCCTTGAGTAACTGGTCACTTTGCAAGGCCTCAATCCAATGAGTTGAGTACATGTGTTATATATTCCAAAGAACTGTAGGATTTTTTTTTTTTGCTCAACTTACAAGTAACAAGAACTTTATTAATATCTCGCCACATATTTGAGTTGTGAAGTTCACCACATTGTCCTAGAGAATTACATTCCTCAATATTTCTTGCATTTTCTTGCTTCCCATCCTGCACTCCAATTAATACACATACAAGTATCCCCCACTTTTGGAAAGCTTGCTTTACGCAACTTTGCTTTCACAAAAGGCCTATGTCAGCCCCTGTTCTCCCTTACTGGAAGAAATCTGAATAGAATTTTTGGTTTTACAAAAAAAGATATGTGGTTTTTTCTTCACATTATGCCATTTCAGCTTATTAAAGGTTTCATAGGAACGCTGTTTTCAGGTAGTAAGGGAAATGTGTGTATGTGCACACGTGTTCATCTATAGTTAAAAAGTTCTAGGTCAAGTCCCACCTACTTAACTCACAATTAAAAAAAAAGGTTTTTTTGAGGAAGTAGAAAGATACAAACTTTTAGTTATAAAATAAGTAAGTCATAGAGATGTAATGTATACCCTGATGACTATAGTTAATTATCCTGCATTGCCTATTTGAAAGAGAGTAGATCTTTTTCAGTCCTTATCACAAGGAGAATAATTTTTGTCACTATGTATGGGGAATACCTGGTCACCTTGCAAGGTCAGATGAGGACAGATGTGGTGAGAGATAGATTTATTGTGGTGATCATTTCTCAACATATACCAACACTGAATCATTATGTTGTACACCTAAAACAAATATAAAGTTATGTATCAGTTATACCTCAATAAAAAAGAAAACTTTCATGAAACTCTTAATACTGGTCTCTGTGAATAAAGCCAGGGTATGCTCTCTTTCACTACAGTCCTTTTCATATGGTCCCCTGCAAAAAATCTGTGAAGTCATTGTCTCCTTCTCTTCACCTCCCTGTGCCAGGTGCCCAAATCTTCAAAAGTGCGTTTAAGTAATGAAGACTTCAAATGTTCTGTCTACTCCCAAGATATCTTCATTTAATCAAAAATGAATCTTACTGAATTTCTAAACAGGTTTCCAGATACCCTTGATGGCAGTAGGTGGAACTAGGGTAGAAACACTGCCAGTGCTTTGAAAGGAAAAGAGCAAGAAAGCAAAGTGGCAAAATACATAGCTTGCAATTTTAAAGAGCAAAATTGTACTAATAATAGTGTTTTGACATGTTATTTCTAATCTTTACCTTGCAGAGTAGGCATTATGATTAGCCCCATGTTTACAAATAAGGAAGCTGAAGCTCCCAGTTGTTAAATGATTTGCCCAGAGTCTTTTTGCAGGGAGGTGGCAGAGCCAGGACTCACACCTGTGCCTCTGCATTCTACTAGTCTCAGAAGGCTTTGAGGAAGGATAAGCGAGAGCTCAAAACCTCCCAAGTATCAGCTCCAAGCAATGTGGAATTTGTACAAAGAGGTTGGACCGGAAAATAAAAATGGAGAATCTAAAAATGACTCTCCCTCCATCTTTTTAAAACCCAAGGAAATTAGAGGACTAAAATAGAATGAATGTGGGCTTAGAAGTCAGAAAGCACTGGGTCAGATTCAGTCTCTGCCATTATACTGGCTCTTACCCTGGGTAAATGTTACTTTTTTGTTGCCAAATTCTCTCATATAAAAATGAATATAAGAATATCTACCTCATAGGCCTACTGTGAGGATGAAACAAAATAACTCACAAGCAAGTCTCAAGATAAGTGCCCCACTCATAGTATGATTATAATAAATGGCCCTTCCTAATCCTTTCATCCATTGTTATAGTTTATTTACAACCTTTAAATAGATGCAAAGGAAGAGGCTTTTAAAGTCTGTAACAACATATTCTCTTTTAAAATTTTTTTATTGAACTACAGTTGATTCACAATGTTGTGTTAGTTACTGGTGTACAGCATAGTGATTCAGTTATACATACACATATTCTTTTTCACTATAGGTTATTACAAGCTATTGAGTATAGTTCCCTGTGCTAGATCGTAGGGCCTTGTTGTTCATTTTGTATATAGTAGTTTGTATCTGACAGTCCTAAACTCCTAATTGTGAGCACTAGACCACAGTTGTACCATCATGCCTAAGAGCATGAATTCTGAACCCTAACTTCTGGCTCAAATCCTGGCTCTACTCTTTAAAAGTTGACACTCAGCTCTTCTGTGCCTCAGTTTCTTTATCTATAAAACAGAGTTAATGATGGCACTTACTTCAAGAGATTTTGTAAGATTCAAATTCATTAATACAAGTCAAGTGCTTATTACAGTGACTGGCACTTACTAAGGGCTCTGTAAATGCTACTGTTATTAACCAAGCAAATAATACAACGCTAATTCTCAATCAGGGGTGATTTTTGTCCCCCAGGGAACATTTGGTAATGTCTGGAGACATTTTTAGCTGCTACAACTCAGCAAAGAAATGGCCTCTAGAGACTAGAAGCCAGGGATGCTGCTAAATGTTCTACCCAAGACAATCTTCACAACAGAGAATTATCCCGTCTAACATACCAACACTGCCAAGGTGGAGAAACACTGAGCTGAGAAAAATCAGAGATCCTGAGATATCTTCCCCATGGGGCATAAGAGGTCACTAACCAAATATTGCTAGAAAACCAAATACTCCTACAGAAACTGTACCCCATTTAATATTCAGTAAGCTAATACTGGGAAAAGTAAAAATTATTAAATGTATGGGACCATAACAGTGTGTCTTAGAGTTATGTTAAAGTGCTCTTTTAAAGAGTAATATTTCTCTTTAGAATCACTACTCTGAAATTCACTGAGTAAGAATTCTGAGAGTGGATGAGCCAGGACGCATGAGGGCTTTGGAGACCGCAGGGCCCGTAAAAATTAATGCTTGCAAATATATCTGGATTCCTTGTCCCATAGGACCCAGCAAGTGAAAATGGTCTGCCTATAATGGCTACTGGGTAGGAAAAAAAGTGGGCATGAATTTTTATGCTCCTTTATTTGTATTTTCACCCTCCTCATCCTCCCCCAGATACTTTGTGAGTGATGGGATTATTTAAAGAACTCTAAATGCGGAGGCTCAAAGCATCTCTCTCCTCATAGGCTCAAGGGTCTCAGGTGAATTCAGCAGAATCCCGAGCTGGGAGGGTTCCTTATCACCCTCTGTGTGCGCTTCTCTACATCTCCTCCACTTGAGTTGAAGAGGATATGCTGGCAACTTGAACCAGAAACCAGCAAGCCCAGGGGATGGCTCTTCCTTACTTACCAAAACAAAACAGGCTTCCAAGTCTGAGGAGGGAAATAGAGAGCTCTCCATAAGGAACACACCTTCAGTCCTGACCTTCATTATTTGGGGCTTAATGGTTGGTGCTCAAGGATGAAAAGTTTCAATGAGGTCCCTTTTCCTTCTTAAGTCATTAGTAGGGAGGTATTGCTCAAACAGAGAACACTGTTCCAGTGAACACAAGACAGATGAAGAAGTACGACCCCTTTCTCATGCTTGCCGGTGTGATCCACCAGAGAGGCTCATGTGTGATGAGGATGGACTCTGTGCTGTCCACCATGTATTGAGGGAAGACTCTTTGTAATATTCAGATTTCAGTGGGCTGAATAATGGTACCCCAATATATCAGGTCCTAATCCCTGGATCCTGTAAATATGACCTTGGTCTTTGCAGATTCAATCCAGTTAAGGACCTTGAGGTGGGGAAATTAACTTGGATTATCTGAATGGGCCTTAAATGTAATCATGAGGGTTTTTTTAGCAGAAGTATAGTGATTTACAGTACTTAATTAGTTTCAGGTGTACCACATAGTGATTTTTTTTTATAGATTATACTGCATTTAAAGTTATTACAAAACAATGATTATATTTCCCTGCACTATATATTCTTGTTGCTTATCTATTTTATACATAACAGCTTGTATCTCTTAATCCCATACCCCTATTGTGCCCTTCCCCCTTTCTCTCGCCCCACTGGTAACCAACAGTTTGTTCTCTATATCTATGAGTCTGTTTCTGTTTTGTTTTCTGTATTTTTTTAACTTTTTAGATTCCACATATAAGTGATATACAGATATCTTTTTTCTCTCCGACTTATTTCTTTATGCATAATCCTCTCTAGGTCTACCTATGTTGCTACAAATGGCAGAATTTCATTCTTTTTTATGGCTGAGTAACATTCCATTGTATTTTTAAATACATATATATATATATTTGTACTTTTAATATACAAATATATACATGCATTTTTATGTACCTATATACATCTATATAGAGATATACATATACGTATATACCACATCTTCTTTATCCAGTCATCTGTTGATGAATAGTTACGTTGGTTTCATCTCTTGGCTACTGTATATAATGCTGCTGTGAACACTAGAGTGCATGTATCTTTTCAAATTAGTTTTCATTTCCACAGATGAGTGTCCTTACAAGAGAGAAGCAGAGGAAGATCTGATATACAGAGAAGAGGAGAAGGCCATGTGACCATGAGGAAGAGCTTAAGATGTGGCCAAAAGCCAAGGAACACTGGCAGCCTCTATAACTTGGAAGGTAGAGAAATGGATTCCCCCTTGGAGCCTCTGAAGCAAGTGCAGCCCTTGATTTCTGTCCAGTGAAAACGATTTTGGACTTCTGGCTTCAAGAACTGTGAGAGGACACATTTCTATTGTTTTCAGTCATCAGTTTGTGGTCATTTGTTTCAGCAACAACAGGAAACATACACTGGTCATGACTGTGGATTCTTTTCTCACAGGCCTCTAGTAGCCTAACCTAAGAGGGAAAGAGGAAGTGAAAGAAGAAGAAAAAGAAAAATTAAAAAACAGAATGCAAGTAAGGGATAAAAGAAGAGGAGCAGGAGAATCAGGAGAAAAAGTGGAAGAGAAATAACTCACTGAATGGTCCAGGTCATATGAACCATATGAGGGAGAAGTTCACATAGTCCCTAAATTCCAGTTCTATCTACATGGTGGATATTAAAGCTATGCCTAGGTCTGGATCAGAAAACAATCTGTCTTTAAAACATCTTTATGATCCATCCAATAGTTATAATGTAGCTTACTGAATTTTTTCTCATCTAGGTTATCAATGACCTCCTTTTGGTTAAAAACGGTAACCCCTTAGACATCAAGTTCTTTAACCTGATTTGCCAACACTATAGAGCCTTCAAAACCATGCTCATAACCTACTTCCTCTACAAAATCTCCCTTAATTTTGTATTTTTCCATTTTCTGAACTTTCATTATACTCACAGGAAGTACATATGTTATTTCTGTCCCTCTAACAAGAGGTCAGAAATGCTACCTGCTAAATATCCCCAAATGTACAGAATAACCCCCTACAACAAAGAATTCTATTTCTTCTCCCCTCCAGTAATTTGCACAAGGCTGATCTGTAACAGCCCTGTGATGACTACCTGCTACTCTAAGTTCAGTAATATAGATGGTCTCATCTTCTTCATTTCTACCTATTTATTTTATTATACAATGCTGATTGGTATTGAGAATTATATCCCTCAGGCATGTTAGGTCTAAATCATAAAAAGCATACTGACAAAATTGTCTTGGTGGTTAAGAAAATCTACTCATAATTTCAGAAAGATTTCCAACTATAAGAGTTGAGGCCAGAAAGCATTTCTCATTTATCCTAATTTAACTCCAAAATGCAATTAACTGCAATCCCTCAAGTCTC